TTTAATTAATGTAATGTCATTCAAACTTCTACCAAAACTGAATCTTTGCTTTGTCAGTGAACTGTGAAATTTACTCAAGCTTACTTTTTTTTTTTCTTTAAAAAAAGATATTCCTAAATACAAGTCCATAGACTTTGTATAAAGACACACAGACACAAAAACGAGCCATCTTCAAAATATCAGCTTATTAAGTTATGGCAACTCAGTATTTCATTCAGTTGCACTGGTGTCTGCCTGATAAAGGACCTGTCTAACAACTGAATCTCAGCCCTGCAAGCACACATTACAGATGCTGCCAGCTACCTGGTCAGTTTTAGAGGTATACCACCACTATATTCATTCTTCAGGTGCAACAGTGATGGGAAATTAGTATTGTTGTATGGTTCTCAGGCAGATATCCTAGCTACGTAGTAGACCCCCATGAAAAAGAAAAATGAGGACTGTTAATTTCAGTCATTTATGTTAAAATTTTATGTGAGATACTATTGCAAGTGTGGTAATTCAAAACAGTATCATAATTCTTGGGAAAATTTCAGCATATTTTGTTAAAAAACTAAGAGTGGTTCAATTCTTAATGCTACAAGTTGCTATCTAATCTGTACAAGCAATTTGCTGCATCCTTGGTAGGTCTTTGGCTGATCGACATGGTGAAAGAAACACAAAGAACTTCAAAGCGAGAATGTTACAGGAAAGAAACATTTTGTAGTTGGACAAAGAATTAGAACTGAGGAGATCTGAGTGCAATTTCCTGCTATGCCACAACTTCCTTTATTAACTGAAGCAAATTATTTAGTCTCTCTGGCCCTTATGGCTTTTGTTGTCTCATTTATATTAAGTGAAGAACTTAAGCAGGAACTTAATAGTTCCTAGGCAGAAATGTATCATCTGTAAACCCACACATTGATAATAAAGATATAACGGGTTAAAACAGAAAGCCTCTGTCAAGAAGTATGAGCACACATAAAGTGATAGATTACAAAATTAATAGAAAAATAGCCTAACATGGAATACAAAAGTGAGGGCCATCAAATCCAGCTTTCTACTCCATGGAATGCTTTCAGACAAATCTAAAATGAACTGCTTTCATAAAACCGAGTTCTTAAAATAATTTCCATGTTGTTATTCTTGTTCTTATTCTGCTTTTACAAGAACAAAACCAAAACACAAAACTCTGTTTGTTACTCCCACTGGAAGTCTGTTCCAGATACTCCCTCCTAACTGCCAGGAGACTTCTTCCATATTTCCAGTCTTTGCTCTGAATTGTCATTCCTTCTGTCTTAATCCTCAGCTCAAACCTTGACAAATTTAGTTTCTTGAGCATTTTAGTCTTTTTAAAGGAATATCCCATTTTTACCTTCTATGCTTAGAAAACCGTAGCTAAGTGGTTTGCCAGAGAAGGTATTTCAGTTCCGCAATTACTTTCTTTGTAAGATTGCAACCCTTCTTCTCCAATATGAGATTCTCAGTCACATTTGTCATATCCAACTTTGCATACTTAGGGCTTTTATATTCTCAAAGCAGAAAAAGATGTTTCAGAACAGAAGCTGGTCCTCATATCTCCCCATCATCAAGTTTTGACCCAGAGGTCTCTATACCTTGTAATACACCATCCCAAAGCACCATGCCCATGCACACCCATTAGATGTTCCTCATTTCTGCATCCCCAAAACCCCCAGACTCTCAGTTCAGAGCCTTTCACCCCTCTGTATGAAATTCTCCTTTTCCTAATGCTTTTGCACATCAAAACAAACAACCACTCATTTACCAGCTCTCATTCAACAAAAATTCACAGAAGGTCTCCACTGGGAGAAAAATAAGATGTGCTATGGAAAAGATGACGCATGGCTGCTCTAAATATGTGAATATATTCAATATAATATTTCCAATTAGCACTGCTGGATTCCCTCATCAACTCTTAGCTAAGGATGGCAACAGCCTGATAACTCAGTTTTCCAGACCATTCTTGGCTTTCGGAATCTAAAGAGCATTGAAATGGAGCAAACTTTTTATTTTTGTGCTCTGGGTCTTGCATGTACTCTCTTTTCCTTGCAGATCAAGCTGTCTTTACCTTCCTAAAATAGGCACACAGTCTATCAGGCTTACAAACCCACCAATCTATACAGTGCTGAAGTCATGAGTTCTCTGAACAACCTTTTCATAACAGAACGACCAGATTAGTGAAATTTTGCTGAAACATTTGAAAAGCACTCCAAAAACAAGCAACTGATCGGATAGAATGTAAATTAACATTAGTATGACGAAGTTCTTAGCACCAAACATCCATACGATAGCAAATTCTAAAAGGATTTGCAGCATTCTTGCTTTTGAGGAGGTGTCATAAAACCCAATAAATGTGGGGGTTTTCTACTAAGACATTTAAACACAGTTTAACACACGCACT